GGTTCCTTATCAGAATTCCTATGAGACATAATGCTTCACTTTTTGTATCTTCAAACACCAAACACCAATTGTCCCACTGGGCGTGCCAAATTGTTTCGCGCGGGTTGTCGCTAATAATTAGAAAAATGGATCAAACGATTGTGTAAGGAACAAACATCTTGAGACAAAGTCCAAAAAAATGGTGTTTTATTGATGAAAGTTACAATTGGAAATAAACAGAATGCCTCCAAGGGGCGCAAGCACACTAGTACTGAAAGGGGATAATTCAAAGTTAATCTAAGAAATTGAAATTACATATTATCTGTTTGAGAGTGTTTGATTCGGGGTCTTTTCTTCTATGTCTTCTCTTCCTTTTTATATTTCCTTGATAATTTCTTTGTGACGAACTGCTTGGAAATTGCTTGATTGCTATATAACTATCTACTTTCTTCATGATGGCTCACTTGTCGTGGAACTACCGTCTCTAACTGTTGCCATTACTCTTGTCGTTCAACCGTCTACAACTGGGATCCTTGGATCGTGGGGTGTGATAGGATTTCTCAATAACTGCCTCAATAACTGCTATTTTGAATAACCATAATACATTATATTTTCTCAATTCCTTGGCGACTAGGGGGTTTGGGCGAGAATGGGTTCATCGCTCTGGGCGACTATAAGGCACTTCATTCGTTCAAATTCTGGGCGTCTTGCAAGATTAGGCGATGATGTTACATTGTTCGCGGGCCTCCACTGCATTCATTAACGGTCCTATTTAGGCCTTTATCCTGTATTTCCCCAATTGGGCTTCATTCCTTGGGTTATCTAATTTGGATTACACTTTTCTTGTGTCAACAATATATATATCACAAAGCAATCTAATAAGTAACCGAGACAACAGAGAACCAAAAATATCATATAAACTAACCCAATAGAATAAAGGTTTGGTATAGAAACTCAAAAAGATAACCTGAAGAAGTTCTTTGGGTGTAAATAATATTTTTTTTTCCTACAAAATGAAAGAGAATGAAGTTATGGCACGTGCCTAGGAAGATTTGGGACAAATTTGCAGCTAAAAAAAGTTTGAGGAGGTTAACGCCAAAACTCATAGGTTGGAGACAATTTTGCTATCAATCCCAAAGGTCGGGGAT